AGAGAATGAATATTAGCTTTTTGTAAGGTAATTAAATCAAAGATACAGCAACTCACAATATTGGCTAGGTCCTGGTCACTGAGGATCAAATTCAAAATTTCATTATGTCAGAATCACCTCTTATCACTCAAAATTAATGTTTGCAACAGCCAAATGATGATATGTGGAAGATAGATATCAAATGTTAATCCTTGAATGATGACTAATAAATAGCAAACTAGCAAATTTTCAGCACAGAGAGTTTAGTTCTATACAAGAGTCCCATACCTCTGGCATCTTAAGGGAAGTGTACAAGTGATTTTAATCCAGAGACATCTGATGAAAAGTTGTTTATCCTCATAGAAGACTAGACTCAAAGCTAAAAAGAACTTAATCAACATTTGGATTTTCAAACTAGAATTGTGGAGAACTCATCGTCTAGTCAGTCTAAAGGAGATTTGTAGAGCTTCAAAAGTGCAAGAAGTATTGTCACAAAGGGTTCTCATGGTAAGGAGAGATACCAGTCTGTAAGATCAAGCCAGAGTATTGTTAGAGACAGTTTAGAGAATTTAAGACTTCAAACTCTCACAACCTATTCTGAACTCAAAGAAAATTAAGCATCTCTCAAAGATATCAGGAAAGTTTAAGAGGTATTTAAAACTCTAAGTCATGAGAGTCCCAAAAAGTTAAGCAAAAACTCATCTCACAGTTCTAGACACAATCATAGAGAAAATCCAGTTCGCTAATCATTTATCCCACCTCCACCTTAACCAATCAATAAACTTCTAACCTCAATGGCTTAATTCTTTACTCAACAGTAAAAGCCAGAAAAATAGGATAACAATTATATCAAGTTACCTATTAGTCTTTAGCCATCATTAGGAAATTAGCATTCTGTATTTAGCATAATAACTAATTAAACAATTGTAAAAGACCAGGACAAGCTCATTGATTCAATCAAGAAGAAAATTAATGACCATTTTTAGAGGAAGCCTTAAACAGTTAAGGCAGCTACAAAGATTGAAGACAAGCAATAACTAAAGATTATTGATAATCTCTTTGAGTATTAAAGATCAATCCTTATATGTAAGATATTGATTGTAATTATATTCTTTTTAGAGACTGCCTTGATGAAATACTAATTCAATAGCCCACACTTTTTGTCTATGATTGAGAATGGCAAAATTGAAAATATCTTGACAGAATAGCTGGAAACGTTTGTAAAAATTCTACCTAGATAGAATGAGCTTCAAAAATTGAAAGAGACTATATTATCTGAGGGCTACATCAACTATGAAGAAGCCTAAGGCAAGACTAAATTGGGAACTGTGGAGAGTTTTTTCATTCTTATCTAAAGCTACCCCAAACTATAATTGAAAGCTGAAATTTTACTTGATATAGCACTATTTCAAGATAAGATTAATGATCTAATGATGCTAAATGAAAACTGGACTAAGGTATTTGATTTCATTATAAAAAATGAAAACCTCAGAAGTATCGTATATCTTATCTAGTAATCTCTGATTCAGCTTTAATATGGTGATACATAGTTTTCAAAATAAATGTACCAATTTAATATACTAGAGATCAACAGGGTATTTGAGGTTAAATCAACCAAGAATGCTTAGAAAACAATGTATGATGTACTATTTAAAGATCTATTCTTACTATCAGAGGACAGATAATGGCTTATCTTTTCAGAACCTTAGATTAGCATGATTAGAGTTGTCATGAGAGATAACATTTCATAATTCTATCTAAAAATAAATGAACTCACAAACATCCACTAGAAAGTTCAAACTGAATTTAATCAATGGGATTTAAATGATAAAGTTTTCAGGTCCACGTTAGAATCTTTCTAAAAATTCTATTAAGAGCATGTGAAAATTGTGGTCTAGTAAACTTCTAAGTAATTCGACATTGCAGTTCAAAATTTCCTTGAGTATTTCGGACAGGAAGATATTTCTAATCTAGATCAGATAATTCAGACTATATTTGAGTTCAGTATCAAGCATCAGAAGGTTTATGAAAAGATATTGATCAAGATTAGAAATCAATAAAGATAATCAAATATGATTAAAGAAGAGAGGAGTACTCCAAGCAAGCAACCCCATCACTCAAGAACAGCTTCTGATGTCAATCAGCATCTCATATCAGCTCCAAAAAAGATTTCTCACTAAAGAGTTAAGTCTAATCTTCTTGGAGAAAAGTAAAGTCCTATTGTCCAATAAGCAAAGTAGAAGCAATGCCCACATTCTATAAGAACCAAAAATGTATCACCAAGAGATTCGCACATTCCAAAGCTTTAGGAGATAGATGAATTTAGCCAGAGCAATAACTCAAATGCTCCTAAAACTCAGAAGAAATAAGCTTTAAACAAGTAATTATTCAATGCTGCAAGCAAAAGTTGCCTTAAGAGCCCAGCCAAAGCTGAGCCTTCTCCAAGTCAATCATCAAGAAAAGGACCAGAGGAAGAGAAAGTAGCATTGAATACTGCTTTTGGAGAAAATGCATTACCAAACCAGATTAATATTGGCATTAATTTTGCTATGAATGAGTTATCTTCAAGAAACAAGGCCATAGTACTTAAAGACTAGGGGAAGTTAAGAAGTGCTTGTACGGCTGGGCAAAACTAATCATTTTTAACTGCTGTTCATAAAAAAGGAATCTCAAAAGAAAATGATAAGGCATTGTCTCAATTCTAAACAGGCACCAGTAATGGAGGAGCATCTGGACCAGCCCAATATATCAACTCAGGAAAGCAGAGTAAGATAATGGGTAGAGGAAACTCAAACGCCATTCTCAACTTGAAATAGCAAGATCCATAATAGTAGCAGAGAGTCAAGTCAAGACTAGAATAAATATCTAAGTAGGCTAGATTCTGATAAGCTAGATGCTTCACCTGAATCTCCATTATTGCTAACATGATTTCATCTTTTAATTTCAAACTCAATTTCATAATTTTATTCAATCATTATTATTATTTGCATCATGGGGTTTTGGGGTTTTGGGGTTTTGGGG